GAAACATAAGCGTGTGCACATCTGCCTCCAAGAGTCAGTAACAGCTGATCTCTAATGCAGTGACTGTAGATCACTCAGGCCCTGTGCTCATATGCGCACACAGATGCTGCATATGGAGGGAGGAGCCATGGGCCAAGGCTCAGGAAGTCTGAAGTCCAATCCCAGCTCCACCACCCAACACTGTGAGATCCTGGGGGGAGGGGGAGGAATATTTCCTTTCCTGGGGCTTCATAAAGTGGTGGAATGATACTATTTCTCAGGATCTGTCCTCCTTGACATCCTGTGGGGAACAGGAATCATGGCAGGCTACAGATTAAAAGGCATGGGGTCAAAGGGGAGGATTTTAGTGAACTAGGAAAATCTCAATTTGTTCTAGAAAAGTGTCGTGGTACTAGGGATATTATAGCTAATGTCAGATGGATCTTAGCAGAAAGCAAAGAATACCAGAAGAATGTCTATCTGTGCTTCATTGACTATGCAAAGGCTTTTGACTGTGTGGATCACAACAAGCTGTGGCTGACTCTAAGAAGAATGGGAATCTCAGAACATTTGATTGTGCTAATGCGAAACTTATTCTTGGACCAAGAGGCAGTTGTCAGAACAGAGCAAGGAAACACTACATGGTTCAAAATCAAGAAGGGGGTTCGTCAGGGATGTATTCTGTCTCCATACCTTTTCAGTCTGTATGCAGAACAGATCATCCGAGACGCTGGGCTATATGAAGAGGAATGTGGCATCAGGATTAGTGGAAGAATCATCAACAACCTGTGTTATGCAGATGACACAACCCTGCTTGCTGAAACTGAGGAGGACCTGAGGATCTTGCTGCAGAAAATCAAGGACTACAGCCTCCTATATGGACTGAAACTAAATGTCAAGAAAACAAAGATTCTAACCACTGGGCCAATTGGCAGCATCAGCATGGATGGTGAAGAGATTGAGATAGTTAACAGTTTTAATTTACTTGGTTCCACAGTCAACACTCTTGGTAACAGCAGCCAGGAAATCAGGAGATGAATTGCATTGGGAAATTCGGCTGTGAGGGACCTCTCAAGAGTACTGAAGAGCAACGATGTCAGGCTGGAGACTAAGGTGCGCCTGATCCGGGCTATAGTCTTTGCAGTTATGTGCTATGCATCAGAGAGTTGGACAGTGAGTAGGACTGATAGAAAGAGGATTGATACCTTTGAGCTGTGGTGCTGGAGAAGAGTGTTGAATATACCATGGACTGCTAGGAGAACAAACAGGTTTGTCCTGGAGAGGGTGAAGCCAGAGTGTTCCCTGGAGTCAAGGAAAATGAAGCTTCGTCTGACATATTTTGGGCATGTTTCAAGGAGGGACTGGTCCTTGGAGAGGGACATCATGTTTGGTAGAGTGGAGGGGAGGCGAAGGAGAGGAAGACCTTTGGTGAGATGGATCGATCGATTCTGTGACTGGAGTGGTGGGAGTAAATGCATTTGGGATGGCTAGGTTGGCACAGGATAGAACAGCATTTAGAGCTCTTGTACACAGGGTCGCTATAAGTCGCAAGCGACTCGATGGCACATAACAACAACAACAATCACAACTGACACCACTCATTGAGCAAAACCAAAACTATAATTCTATCTATCTATCTATCTATCTATCTATCTATCTATCTATCTATCTATCATCTATCTATCTATCTATCTATCTATCTATCTATCTATCTATCTATCTATCATCAGTGTGCTATCTTACTTATATGTGTTACCTCATTTAGCTCTTCTCACATCTCTAGAATGTAGATAAGGCTATATTCCTCCTTTACAGATGAGGACACTGAGGGTCAGGGAGGTGAAGCCAACTGCCTGTTGTTCTATAGCAAGTAAGTGACTTGAATGAGCTGAAGTGGGTTAGAATGTGAGATGCAGGCCTTGAACTCCCGGATGCTAGCCTGTTTTCCTCCTAAGGCATCTTGCTATGCCTAAAGTTGCAGTTACTAGCACCTGATCTTAACCCATGGGGGATGGGGGGAAGGCATTAAAATTGGCATGCATTTGTAACATGCTCAGCCAATCAATATTTTACAGAACCTTCTCTCAGAATGATATAATTTGAGAACTGGAAATGTGGCAAGAGAATTTAGTTGCAATCATTAAAAAAGAAAAAGAAAAAGTATCTTTGCCAAGATGCTTGCTTACTTTGTTCAAGCAATGAAAAAGTAAGACTTAACAAATGGGAAAATAATTACATTTGCCTAAAATTACATCTTCTGTGCACACAGGAGGGCTGACAAACTTTTCAATTACCTGCCATGAGAAAACAAACGGTGCCTCGCCAAGACTGCTTTACAGAGTGATAGTGCTGAAGAACACTTCTCATTGATCTGAATCTTGTTGGGTTGTTGTTTTGTTTTTTTTTTTTAATGAAGCTGAACATTTACTTTAATTTCTTGCTTCCCTCCTCGATGATTCGGGGATCTACACCGAGTGAGTGGAAACAGCAGGTGGAGCCTCTTGTTTCTAGGTTTCCCAGAAACATCCTGATGGTGAAAACATGGCAACGATGAATGGTGGGTCTGTCTGAATGGTTTTGGCTAACAGCCCACTGATGAACAAACTGGGCTGAACCAAGGTGCCCCTTAAAGACTTCCCATGATGCTGCTCTGCTCCTCCATGATGCTCTAATGCCCTGACAAGTCCCTGTCCTCTCTGGGCCTCAGTTTCGCATTCGTGACATGAGGAACTTACTCTGGATAGCCTTTGAGGCATCTTCCAAATGACAGCAAAAACACCCAACAAATGACCTGGTTTATTCAACAAGCCAATGGCAAGTTAAAAGTAAAGTCCATTGACCTTCTAAAGATTAAATTCCTATGTGCATCATAAACATTTTCCAACAGAGTGAAAAGAAAATCTACTAACTGGGGAAATAAACATTTGGCAATACCATTTCAGATAAGGGTCTCAAATAAAAAAAAAAATCCTTTAGGGCCTCTAGAAGAAAAAGACTGATAACACACTTACAAAACGGGCAAAAGACATGGGAATAATTTTCACAGAGGAAGACATAACAGATACATGAAGAAATGCTCAAAGTCACTAGCAATAAGAGGGATGCAAATCAAAACCACAATGAGTATCATCTCATCCCTTCGCAGAGGCAAAGTTTAACATAACAGGAAGTAATAAATGTTGGAGAGGATGTGAAGAGATAGAAACTCTCATACATCATTGGTGGGACTGCAAAATGGCACAACCACTCTGGAAAGCAGTTTAGCGTTTCCTCAAAAAACTGAAAACAGAAATCCCATTTGACCTAGTTATTCCACTGCTTGGACTATACCCTGAGAAAATGAAAAGTGAGGCACAAATGGAGATTTGTACACCAATGTCCATAGCAGCATTATTCATCATCGCAAGAACATGGGAACAGCCCAACTATCCAACCACAGGCGAATGGATTAAGAAATTATGGTATATTCACATGATGGAATACTACGCTACACAAAGGAGCAATGATTTTGAAAATCACTACCTAACTTGGGAGGGACTGGAGAGCATATACTAACTAACTCAGTCCCATTAGGATGAATACTGTATAAGACCATTATTGTAGAAATAGAAAGAAAACTAGTTAAATGTGTATGAGGATCCAACGGGGGGAGGGGGGTTATAGGCGCAGACGGATGAGGATGGGCAGGGGGCTAATCACAGGGTCACACAATTTGATGGGTAGAGGGAGGGGTGGGGAAAGGAAATGGGAAAGATTCAATGTGAAAAGCAATGTATAAACTTTGTAAGTAAACCAGTATAAAATAAAAAATTTACTTAAGGAAAAATATATTTGATTTAGAATAACAAAATTATATAGTGAATGTAACAAGGCTTTTAAAATTATATTCATAGATTAAAATGAGAAAAGTAAAGCCTATTATAGTTTAAAAGAGATTAAAGAGACCCACTAAGCAAATGTAAGGTGTGGATCTTGTGTGAATTCTACTCAAACTAATCAAATGGAAAGAAATTTTTTAGCTAATCTGGGGAATCAACATAGACCAGGAATTAGGTATTAAGAATTGCTATTAAATATTTTTTTTTGCTATTAAATATTTAAGTGTGATAATTTTTTTTAAAAAAATCCTTCTCTAGGGTTGATCAGATAGTGTAATGAGTGAATTACATGACTCAACTGTCATTAATGTTCTAAAACAAAATATGAACGAATTCTTGAATGAAAAGCCAATAGGATTTGTAAACTTTCACTTAAACAAAAAAAAAAAAAAGAAATGAAATCTTTAGTTAGTAGAAATGCCATACTGAAGTATTTATAGATTGAAATGAGATAATGTCTGGGTTCTGTTTTAGAATTCTACAAGAAAAAAGAAGAGTTGGGGGGCGGTAAGTAAAGATCACACACACACCCTCCCTCAAATTTCACTGTTGTAGAATCAGGTCCAACTCTCAGGGATCCTCCACCTGGCTTTGCAGGCTGGAAATCCTAAGCAGAGGAGTGTGTTCATCTTCTGTGGCCCCATCCCCGGCCTCTAGTGGATCTGAACCACTGGAGACACTCAGCCTTTGGGTTAGCAGCGCAATTTGATTCAGACTATGCTACCACAGTCCAAACGTAGATAATATTTGAAACTGGGTGATGGGTCTACGGTGGTTCATTAGACTATGTGCTCTGTTTTACAGCATGATTGAACATTTCTGTAATGAAAACAATGCAACGATTCCAGAAAGCAGGAATGTTAATGGCAGATTCAACCTCCTTGCTTTCCCAATACATGGACTGGCCTCTCTGGATCCCATGGTGAAGACAGACCCAGCCTACGAAGAAATGCAATTGAGAAAAAGATCTTAAGTGAGTTAAAGCTGATGTTTTTCACAGAGATGTGTTTTCTGTTGACCCAGCTTTCTCTTTATTGAAAACATCAGACTTTCATTTCTTTTGATGTACTTCATTGCATAAACACAACATCCCTGAATACCAATTTCATCAGCTGGGAAAAAATAAACATCACAGAAGCCTACCTTGAAATTGAGTAAATTTAATGGTTCCCATTCTTTCACCATTCCGGAACACAACTTGACCCTAAAAAACAAAACAACACACACAAACAGAAACAAAGAGAAATGCTGTATTAGCCCAGACACTACTGATCAGACGGCGATCCATTTCTTGAAAATACAATGTAATTTTTTAATATTGGAGAAAATAGAAACCCCCGCTGGACTGCAGAGGCAAAATCAAACTAATTGTTTTTCAATGAGTAGTGATTTGGTTAATTTGAGCAGCACAAATCAATAATGGAACTGAACCACATGAATTAAAGCCCAGACATCATCATTATCACTATGACTATTTATTAAACGCCCACGTGTCTTGTCTTATCAGAGAGATCAAGTCTTCCAGAGTGCTGGGAGAATGGGGCTGAAGACCCTGCCTGGGAACTCCACCCACCAAAATGTGTGACTTTACTGAGGCTGTTTGGTGTGAGATCTGAAGGGTGTCAGTGTGCCGGGAGGTCTGTTAGCATTTCCTATCAAGATGGAGAATTGCTTTCCTGAACGGTGATGTCAGCCCCAATTATAACTGGGCTATGGTGCAGCACAAAATTAAGCTTCTTGAGCCACTGAGACCTGACCAATGTCACAGGCAGCTGAGTGTCCCTCATTAGGGACCTGGAGGCAAAAGGCAGCTTCATCTGCTGCATGTGCCTTGCTGGCTTAGACCCGGCTTCCATATGCTTAGCTAAATAAATTGGAATTTAAGGAGAGTTGGTCTCTTCATCGTCCCTGGGTGGTGCATACTGAACACTCAGCTGCTAATTCAAAGGTCGGAGGTTCAAGTCCACCAATAGTACCTTGGAAAAAAGACATGATGATCAACTTCTAATAATTCATCCACTGAAAGCTCCATGGGGTACGGTTCTATTTTGACACCCACGAGGTTGTCATGATTTGGAGTTGACAAGGTGCCAACTGGTTTAGTTTTGGTCTCATTTTGCTAATTAATAGCCCATTTTGCTAATTTATGGCTAATTTAATTCCTTTTAAAATTCTGTAATCATGCAAGGAAATGAACATACAGTAAATCACTGCGTTTTTATGACAAGCCTAAGTGGTAAAGGGGATAATCCCTATTTTACAGATCAAGAAACCAAAACTGAGGGAGACTACAGACGTTGAGCCAAGTTATTCAGCAGGCAAATTAGGCCGCTGGGATTCCAATTGGAGTTTGATTATAACGTCCTTATTCCTTCACGATAGTATGTGGTTTCTGATGAGAGAGTGATTTTCCTTACTTCTTTCTATGTGAGTTGTGGAAAAGATGCTGTCTGGTGTCCGCTTTCCTCTTACAGTCACACTCCTCTGTTACCAGCAAGAATGAGGACCTGACTGGGATCCCATTCCTTCCCAGGAGAAAGCTCAGGAGTGTCTTCTTTTGGGCGGAAAGCACAAGTCTGAGGCCCTGAGAACAAAGGGACTTGCTCAGCTCCCTCTCAGGGAGGAGAAACACCTTTTGAGGACACTTTGCCACCTTTCTGAAATCCTAAAGACAGCTGCTAGTAGTATCAGTTTGAAACTAACGCCCACCAGAATTCTATATTCAGGTGATGTTAAGCAACTCCCTGGAGTGTGAAAAACTTGAAGGTAAGGTGAGACAGGAGCTGCGATCTTGTTTTGAGAGATGAGAGGAAAACACAGAAAGCCTTCCAAAATGATCCCTTGAATGCAAATGGAATGCTTCTGTGGGTGGGTGGATGCAGGCCCTCTCCAAGGTAATTTTTTTGATTGACAAAGGTGGAGATCTAACTAATTTGCTAATTTTCTGTCATGCTTTGAGGACTCCCAAGACATCTATATTTAAAATGTGGGTAGTTTCTGTGGGGACTTTATTCCTTTATTAGTTAAATTAAAAAAGTATGTGCAATGGCTGTCAAAGCATGGATGGTACGACACTGGTCTAGGGTATGGGGTGGGAGTAAGAAAGAACCTTTCTTTTTTGTTTTCTCTACTCCTTGGAGAGGGACATCATGCTTGGGAGGGTGGAGGGACAACGCAGGAGGGGAAGACCCTCTATGAGATGGATTGATTCGGTGACTGGGGTAATCGGGATGGGTGTGTCAGAGGCGGTGCGGTTGGCGCAGGATAGAGCAGGGTTTAGGGCTGTTGTGCATAGGGTCGCTATGAGTCGGATACGATGGCACATAACAACAACAACTACTACTACTACTACTACTACTTTTGTAAAGAGAAAAGGAAGAAAAATATGTATGAAATCTTGAGTGAGATATCAATCCGCTCTGCCAACTTTCATTCACATCACATATTCACTAGCTAACCCTATCTCTGAGATGGACTGACTCACAGCTGATTCTCTTGCAGGTTTTTAGAGGCTGTACATCATATGGGAAGAGTTTGCCCATATTTCTCCTTAAGAGCAGCTGATAGATTTGAACAGCCTGCCTTTGGGTTGGCAGTGTGACTCTTTACCGATTATAAAACGCAGTGCAACTCTTTTCCCATTATAAAAAGCAACCTAAAAAATCAAAAGCAACAATAATAGTTCAACTAGTTCACTTTGAAGTACCTGCTATTTTTAGTGATGTAAACTGAGCTCCATAAGATTTTGTTGGTTGTAATCATCATGAACTAGATCACTAGGCCCTTTTCCCATTGTGCCACTGAGTGGATTTGAACTGTCAGCCTGTCACTTAGTAGGCAACAACAGAACATCTGTACTGCTCAAGAATCTATCACACTTCCTTCTTCTAACAAGAACTCTTGATTAAAGGAGCCCTTGTGGCCTAGTGGATAGGGAGTTGCATTGCCAAACCAATGACAGGTGGTTCGAATCTACTAGTTCCTCTGTGGGAGAAAGATGGGCAATCTCCTCCCATGTAATTTACAGCCTCTGAAAACCAGCTGGCGGGTCAGCCATGAATCTGTTCTGACTTGATAACAAGGAATGAGTGAACAATGGCTACTTTTTTTCTAATCACAACCTCTCTCATTTTCTTAATGTCTTAAGTAGGTAGGTGGAAGGCAAGTCAGGCTCAAATCTCACAAACCTAGGTTCATCCCCAGGTTCATTCCAGGCAAGTTCTTGAAAATCCCTACATTGTAGACCTAGCAACTCCTGGTATAGAACAGGCACTTAGGAATGGCAGTAGTAATTGCTATTTAAACAATTGCAATTAGCAAAAGAATTTTAAACACTAGGAAGCATTCCAGCTCCTGGGAAGAGAGTTTCAGCTATCACATGATTTTAGCTGGCAAAGAGAAGTGTTAGGCTCTTATCAAAGGTGTCAGAACCCTCTCAGACACATCAGCCCTTAAGGGACTGGATTCTCTAAACCACATGAGCCACTGTGTGGTCTGTTAGTTGGAGAAAGCCGAGACCACTGTTGTCTGGTGAAAAAACAACTGAGGAATGAGCTGGACTGAAGGGCTGCATCCAAGAGCCCAAGAAGCTCCACAAACGTCGCTTCTGAGGTGACCAAATGATTCTTTTCTGAGCAATTACTGCAGCATCCACTTATTCTGGCCGATGAAGCCAATTCTGTTATTTTGACTGAACCTGGGATCACTGCTCCAGCCAAAAGCAACCTTGAGAAGTTTGGGTATGGGGTAAGACACAATCAACACTCTTGGTAATAGCAGCCAGGAAATCAAAAGACGAATTGCATTTGGAAAATCTGTTGTCAGAGACCATTGCTAAAAAGCAATGATGTCAGTCTAGAGACCAAGGTGTCCATGATCCAGGCTATCTGTAGTCTTCACAATCACCAATTATGCATCAGAAAGCTGCACAATGACCAAAGAGTACAGAAGAAAAACTGGTGCCTTTGAGTTGTGGGGTTTGAGAGGAATACAGAACATACCATGGATGATCAAGAGAACTAACTGTTCTTAAGCCCAAGGTGAAAAGGCATGGACCAGCCACAGTTTCTGGAGATCAATATATCTCTGTCCCCTATGATCAAAGTACTCAGGCCTTGAACTTTACTGACTGCAATCAGGAGCACTAATACATAGGTCCTTCACAGACCATTACCTTACCTTGGGGCATTATACATTTACAACAGCCTAATATCTACCAAGAAAAGACTACAGAATGTCAGTATAGTAACTGGCTGCCTCAACCATCATGAAAAAACAAAATAACCCTTCTCTTAAAAAGCAGACCAAATGAGTACCTCAAACACAGAAAACCAGAAGAAATACGTTGGTGTGGAATTACCTAAACAGCTACAGAAAGTGGTGCACCATGATGGAAGAAACAATGGAAGCCATTAATGAGGTGGATATGCCAGAGACAGGGCACCAGACAAAATATATCAACGGGGAGCAACTTGAACAGCTACAGAAGAAAATGCAAAAGGTGGAAGAAAGGATTGAAACTATAGATAAAGAGGTATAAGAACTTAAAAAAATCCTCAAAGATAGAGAGGGTGCACAAGTTTTGTGTATTCCAAAGTATACCAAACACAGTATTGGAAATAACAGAAAAGCATGAAAATGCAATCCAGAATATTAAAATCAAAATGGTAGAAGTGTCCAACATGCTGGAAGGACACAAAAGAACAGAAGAGATGGAACAGAGAGTCAGTGAGCTGGAAGACAAATGCCTCAATAAAAACATACCACAAGAAAAATCAGACATGAGACATAAAAGTGAAGAAAACTTTAGAATCATGTGGCGTGACATCAAAAGGAACAACATATGCATGACTGCAATTCTGGAACATAAGAGGGGCAGGGAAGTCACTGAGAAAATTGTGGAATTGGTACTAGAAGAAAACTTCTCAGGTATTATGAAGAACAGAAAAATTCACATCCAAGAAACTCAGTGACCATCATATAGACTAGATCCAAAAAGAAAAACATCAAGATATGTTATAATCAAATTCTCCAAACTAAGAATAAGAATACTAAATGTAGTGTGAGAAAACCACAGACTCATCTACAAAAGGGAAACAATTAAATTAAGTCCTGATTTCTCAGCAGAAACCATGTAAGCTAGAAGACAATAAGATGGTATTTTCAGAAAGTTGAAAGAAATCAATGCCAGCCTAGGAACCTTTA